CTCTCCATCATGCCCTTGGAGATTTTTTAAATGTTTTGGCATTTCGTCTTTTGGAACGTAGTTCTGCTAGCACGGAATCATCTCCCCATACAGCGATCAGATCCCGTACCTCCCGTATGATCCATGCTGGAGCTCTTTTTCGATTCTCAGACTGCATGGTTACCTGTGATGATGAGCTCTGTGTGGTCACCTGTGCTCTCCACGCTGGGCAAACAGGAAATGAAATTCAAAAGTTTGCAGGGCTTTTCCTGTCTATCTGGCCAGTGCATCCGAGTTCAGATTGCTGTCCAAAGCGGTCACAATGGTGCACTGTGGGATAGCTCCCGGAGGCCAATACCGTCGAATTTCGACCACACTAACCCTAATTCGAACCGGCAATGTTGATTTCAGCGCTACTCCCCTTGTTGGAGAGGAGTACAGAAATTGATTTTAAGAGCCCTTTATGTCGAAGTAAATGGCTTCGTTGTATGGACGGGTGCAGGGTTAATTCGATTTAATGCTGCTAAATTCGACCTAAACTCATAGTGTAGACCAGGCCTTTGTCTATCTTCTCTATTTAGATTGAAAGCTTTTCAGGGCAGGAGCTGTCTGTTACTACGTGTCTATACAGCACCTGGAACAATGGGGCCCTGTTCTTGGTTGAGGCCTCTAAGTGCAATACAAATAATAATAATAATAGCTTTTAATGACTCAGATAGTAGGGCTTCCACCACTTCCTTTGGGAGATTATTCAACACTCTAAGAGATCTCATTCTTAAGAATTTTCTTCCTGATGTTCAAGCAAGATCTGGCTTTGATTAAATTTTATGTCACTGTTTTGGGGGGGGGGCGCGGGTTGGGGTGGTTGGAGGATTTCCCCCCCAGTATTCTTAAAGCACAGTAATACTATTTCTTGTGTGTGTGTGTGTAACTCTTGTAGTTTGGTTGTAATAAATTTCTATTAAAAATAAACAGGGGGAAAAAACAAAACCCCAAAATAACTTGCTGCATGATGAACACTTCTTAAGGAATTCCCAGACTTCTCCAATAGGTGAAGAACAGGGCTTCAGCCTCATCTCTCTCCCCCCAACCCCCAAAATGTACAGATGGCATGCAGGCTTTTCAGTGTAACTGCAAAATGTGGCAGGTCTGATTCTGATCTCACATCAGTTTTACACTGTAAACAGCAAGATGAGGCCTGGCATGTATTATTCGCTTACATCTCATGAAAGTTTATTGACTTTGGGGGAGTCCCCCTTTCTGAGTGGGTAGACTGGCTAGGATGAGCATGAGAGAGAGAAAGGAAGTGGAGCCCTCTACACACTGACCAGAGAGCCCAGCAGTTACATTTTGTACTATGCAGTGTATTTGGAGAGTCAAGTGCTGATTCTGAGCTCAGTCCCATGCTCCCAGATCAAGCAGATAGTGGGAATGTTGCAGAGCTGACATGCTCAGTTTTGGAGGGAGGCAGATGAAGTGTTTCTCACTGATAGCATAGAAGCCCCCTATTAACTGATATGGGCGGAGGCAGCAGTTCTCTGCAGCAAGCCCTAAGGCTGATTTCTCCATTGCCCTCTAGCCTCTAGAAAATACCCTCAGCATAGAAGGCCACACAGGTCAACATACAGGGTAGGTTGGAGGTTGGCCAAGAGGAAACAGCTGTGGCCAAAGCATTGCCTGCACACCAGCTATTATTCGAGGGGGCCCTCATCTACACTGGGAGCAAGGCAGGTCCCCAGATGGGCCCAGAATAAATGGAATGCAATGGTAGTTTGAAGCCACCTTTCCCCTGAACTTTGCTATGCTGAGCTGAGTGCAGAAATGGAGTACCAGAGAATTAGTCCCTAATTCCTATCCTTGGCTAGAAAACTCTGCTAAAAGGATGGATTGATTCATACCTACTGCAGATAGTGTTGTGTCCTGGTACAAAGGAGGTCAAAGGTCCCAAAGGAAAAGCACCACATATCAGAAGGCCTTTAATCACCTCCTCCAAAAACCTGAACATTGTTCTTAACTGGAGGTTTAGAATTTTCCACAGGAAGCCTTTGCTGCCAAAAGTAAGTAAAAGGGCAAAAGCACTCCAGGTGTAATGTGGAGTTGGGGAGATCTCAGTGGCAATCCATTCCTTCATGACCTGGGCCTGTGTGACGTTGAGTTCAAATGGAGTTGTGAATGCTCAACATTTCTGAAAATCAGGCTTCAGGTATGTCAAGTTGGATCCCAAAAGCTGAGATACCTCAAGTAGGGTGACCATACGTCCCGTTTTGGCCAGGACAGTCCCTTTTTTAAGCCCTGTCCCAGCTGTTCTGACTTTTTTGGCAAAAGTGGGCATTTGTCCCCTTTGCTCTTGGCAACTTGTTCAGTTGGCAAGAGCAAATGGGACAAATGCCCACATTTGTCAAAAAGGTGGGGTGTTGTGCAAAGGAATGTGCGGGGGTTGATCAGCAATGCCAGCCTGGCACAGGGTGGGAGACAGAGCTGGAGCGACCAGTGACAGCATTGTGGGGGGGGAGAGGTGGGCAGGGACGAGCAGTTCGGGCCAGCCCCACGGCGGGGGAGGGGGAGGGGAGAACTTGGGTCAGCCCTATGTGGTGTCCTGTTTTCCCTTTAGGAAATATGGACACCCTATACCTCAAGCCACTATCCACTTTTAAAAATATTGGCCTTGACTTTTTGGTGCCTTGGTTTCCCCATCTGTAAAAATGGAAATAATATTTATTAGAGCTTTCGAGCGATTAAAAAAATTAATCACGATTAATCATGCTATTAATCGCACTGTTAAACAATAATAGAATACTATTTATTTAAATATTTGTGGATGTTTTCTACATTTTCAAATATATTGATTTCAATTACAACACAGAATACAAAGTGTACAGTGCTCACTTTATATTTATTTTTATTATAAATATTTGCATTGTAAAAAAACCAAAAGAAATAGTATTTTTCAATTAACCTATTTACAAGTACCATAGTGCAATCTCTTTATCATGAAAGTTGAACTTACAAATGTAGACTTATGTAAAAAAAAAACTGCATTCAAATATAAAACAATGTAAAATTTTAGAGCCTGCAACTCCACTCAGTCCTACTTGTTGTTCAGCCAATTGCTCAGACAAATAAGTTTGCTTACATTTGCAGAAGATAATGCTGCCCACTTCTTGTTTACAATGTCATCTGAAAGTGAGAACAGGCATTTGCATGACTCTGTTGTAGCTGGCGTTGCAAGATATTTACATGCCATATGTGCTAAAGTTTCATATGTCCCTTCATGCTTCAACCACCATTCCAGGGGACATACATCCATGCTGATGATGGGTTTTGCTTGATAATAATCCAAAGCAATGCAGACCGATGCATGTTCATTTTCATTATCTGAGTCAGATGCCACCAGCAGATGGTTGATTTTCTTTTATGGTGGTTCGGGTTCTGTAGTTTCCGCATCTGAGTGTTGCCCTTTTAAGACTTCTGAAAACATGCTCCACACCTTGTCCCTCTCAGATTTTGGAAGGCACTTCAGATTCTGAAACCTTGGGTCAAGTGCTGTAGCGATCTTTAGAAATCTCACATTGGTACCTTCTTTGCGTTTTGTGAAATCTGCAGTGAAAGTGTTCTTAAAATGAACAACATGTGCTGGGTCATCATCTGAGACTGCTATAACATGAAATATATGGCAGAATGCAGGTAAAACAGAGCAGGGGACATACAATTCTCCCCCAAAGAGTTCAGTCACAAATGTAATTAACACCTTTTTTTTAAACGAGTGAGTCATCAGCATGAAAGCATGTCCTCTGGAATGGTGGCCGAAGCATGAAGGGGCATATGAATGTTTAGCGTAACTGGCATGTAAATACTTTGCAATGCTGACTACAAAAGTGCCATGCAAATGCCTGTTCTCACTTTCTGGTGACATTGTAAATAAGAAAAGGGCAGCATTATCTACTGTAAATGTAAACATGCTTGTTTGTCTTAGCGATTGGCTGAACAAGAAGTAGGATTGAGTGGACTTGTAGGCTCTGAAGTTTTACATTGTTTTGTTTTTGAATGCAGTTATGTAACAAACAAAATCTACATTTGTAAGCTGCACTTTCACAACAAAGAGATTGCACTTCAGTACTTGTATGAGGTGAATTGAAAAATATTATTTCTTTTGTTTATCATTTTACTTATTTTATTTGTAATAAAAATAATAGACACTGATTTCAATTACAACACAGAATACAATATATATGAAAATGTAGAAAAACATCCAAAATTTCAATTGGTATTCTATTGTTTAATAGTGCAATTAAAACTGTGATTAATTTTTTTATCGCGATTAATTTTGTGTAGTTAATCGCGTGAGTTAACTGCGATTAATCCACAGCCCTAATATTTATGCCTCTTTCCATAGTGCTTTAACATCCGTGGATGACTGCAAGGTATTACCATTGTTGTAGCAACCCTCCCAGCTTGATGTCATCCCCTAATCTTATAAATTAACTCTCTGCTCCATTAGCCAAGTCATTAATGAAAAATAACGAGTAGTACCTGACCTAGGACTGACCCTTGTGGGGCCCCGCTAGATACACCCTCCCAGTTCGATAAGGATGGTCTTTCAACCACTTGTGCACCTCACGTTATAGTAGTTTTAGCTGGACCACGTTTCCCTGCTTTGCTTATGAACCCGTCATGAAGGACTGTGTCAAAGCCCTTATCATAAGCCTTCCTTGCCCTGCACCCCTCGGGCTAGCTGTAGCGTAACACCAGACGGCCGGCCAAGCCGGAGCCTCCCTTCCCCAGCCCCGCTGTGCATTGTGCGCTTTATGAGGGGCTGGGGATTTGCCCTCCCTCCCTTACTCTGTTTTACATGGAAAGCTGCACATTAGCGTCTGTCCCTGCTGCTGCGGCAGCGCTGGGGGCGGGGGGCGCTCTTTCCGTATTGGCTGTACGTCACTGGGGGCGGGGCTCCTATCAGCTGTTTGGGGGATGCCAGGAAGCAAGTGTATTTTGGAAACAATACGGCGCGGCGGCGCCTGAGGCTGCAGCTTGGGGACTCCTCGCTCTGCCCGGGCTCGGCGCCCGTGTCCCCCCACCTCCGTCCGCCCGGCGGCGCCCTGCCCTGCCTTGCCTCCCCTGCCGCAGGTAAGTGCCCGCCGGGCCGGGGGATCCTGCCGGCCGCCTCCCCACTGCGGGCATGGAGCGGAGCGCGCCCCAGCTCTGCCGCGGGAGACGCTCCCGGGCGGGCCAGTCAGGAGGCCCCTTTGCACCCCGTGCTCCCCGGCTCCTGCCCTCCCCGGGGGGCAGAGACCCCGCACGCTCATGGCAGCGGCTCCGGAGCTGCTGCTGCAGGGGGCTCAGTCCCGGCGGGCACTGACCTAGCAGCCCGCCCCTGGTCCAGGCGGGGTTGGCTGGAAGGGGGCCGTGGATCAGGAGCCTTAGGGCGGTGGGGAGAGAGCGAGCCTGTGGTAGCTTCTCTTTCTGTGTCTCTTGGCTGGGCTCGGGGCCGAAATCGAGCCATCCCGGTTGCAGCCGCTTGTGCCATAGGGCCAGGAGTCAGGTAGGGACTGAGAAGGGTCGGGACCTGCACTTAGACCCATGGGGTTGGCAGTTACCCGCCTAGAGCGGGACCGGGTGCCTCCCGTTCTCCCCGGTCTTGGTCCTGGAGTGGAGACCTCGACCTTCATCACCTCAGCATGGAGAAATCCGCTCTCTGCTGGTACCGTTTAGTTCTAGTTCACTATGTTAAGTGACCTTCTCCCCCATCCAGGAAATGGCTTCCCCTGTTGGTATCAGGGAGATGTTTATATTGTCCCCAATTGAGCCTGGGTGACATCTGTTTCTCTCTGTTCTGTGAGCTCATGAACCCCAAACTAGTGAGGGGGGAATCTTCTCGCCTGTTACTCTCTGACTATAAACTGGTAACTGGCAGAGTCATTAGATTGCCGGGAACTAAAGGGAAAAGATATTTATCATAAAATCATATATCTCTACAGCAGTTCATCCCCTGTCTGAAAGGGCTCCCCACATCTTACCGTTGTTTTATATCCTTTCATTGTACTGTCTGCAGCTGAATTCTAGTCCGGTAAAATAAGCCCCTCCTTCCACCAGAAAAATATTTGCAGTGTCCTCCGTTAGTCCTACTCACCATGGTATCTGATTTACTTAAAATAAATAAAACTCCTCTTCTGTTGAGTTTCCTCAACCTGATGTGATCACTTCCTTATAGTTAGATTCATGCAAGTAGCTGTTGAAAAATACTTGTGCCTCTTTGGCAGTGAGCTAATTCAGTGTATTGCTCACAAAGCAATTATTCGGGCACTTGCCAAAGGCAGAGACTTTAAAAATTGGTGATTTGCATAAATGTTAATGATGATAAAGAAACAAGTTAGTGCTAGCATTATTCCAAAGCATATTGCTTTTTGGAAACAGTTACCTGAAGTGCCTGTATAAGACAGTGCCTTGTACGTACAATGCTGAGTACACTTGTGATGCTAGAAATTATGGTAGTTTCCAATAGCCCAGATAATGTGTTTCCACTATTGAATCTGTTCTGGGGTTTAAAGTTTCTGTTTTAAATCCTGCTGGCCCCAAACATTGTATTTAAGTCCTCTGCACAGGTATAACTTTGCAGTACGTAAGCCCACAAAGGGAAGGAAATGAAGGAAAGGAATATGGTAGTCCTAAACTTAGACCAGCCAACTTTGTTTTGGGAGCAGGCAGAGGCATATGTATGTTGAACCTTCCCTCTGTTTTTCCTGTCTGCTCATCTTGAGAGTAGCCTCTGATACTGTACTGTATAAGAATTCCACTGTCAGTGTGTTCAGGCTTTCTCAGATAGCGGGTTTTCTTGTTTCCTCAGGAGAATGTGGTAGGCAGATTGAAGGTATGATACTCCATGCATTTGTGCTCCCACAGTCATAAACAACGCTAGCAAACTCTGATTTGTTTGATGCATCTTCCTTTGAGAAACTCTATTTTTGTTCTTGTTTTTGAAGGAGCTAGCAAACTTAAGTTGAAGAAATTAAGTCGCTCTTAGGGTAGGTGATGCTCTGGACTTGTCAAATGTCTTGTTCTTCTCCTCAGAACCAAGCATGAGCTCACCTTGGCCCACCAGGATAGGATGTGGACTAAGATTTCTGACTGTTCTGAAGTCCCTTTTGTTAAATGTTTGGTCTACCTGGTAAACTTCCTGGCTTTGGGGTTTGTCACGTTTAGCTTTTTGTACCAAATGTAGCTCTAGCTATACATTTTAATGCTATTTGCAGTTGTAACCTCTTTTTGAGAGTGGAAAACCTTATTCCTTGCCATCTCTGTATCTTCTTTAGGACAATGGTGTCCTGAGTTCATATTTACATGGGAGGAGGTACATGTGGAGAACTGTGAGGGAAGTACTGGATAGATCATGCTAACAGTTGTCTTTTTATTTCCTTCAAGCCTAGGATTCCTTTTACTAGTCTGCCAGCCTGTTAAGTTTTGGTCAAAACCAGAGCAAAGGAGAGTGAAGAGTTGAATTTCACTTCCTTGTTGAAAACTGGGTGAAAATCCTGGGCATGGATCTCTTAGGAGACTGTCTTCAAATGGGGTCAGATGCACAGATAACAGGAAGGGATTGCTGGATTCATTGGCCAGGCTGCTTCTCCCTATCCTGTGTTAGCAGGAGCTCTAAAAGAGTGGTTTTCATTTTCCCACCCTCTTTTGCCTGGTGTGAGGACATAATGGGGCTAAAGGAATATATACCTTTACCCCGATAGAACACGAATTCAAATATAACGCGGTAAAGCAGCACTCCGGCGGATCAAAGCAAGTTCGATATAACGTAGTTTCACCTATAACGCAGTAAGATTTTTTGGCTCCCAAGGACAGTGTTACATCGGGGTAGAGGTGTACTTTGATGTGTATAAAAGCCCTGCTTGAGATACTGACATGAGCAAACACTAACTTCTGTAATTCTAGGGTGAACTAAAGGAAGGGTGTTTCGGGTAGATTCTGTAGTAGTGAGTGGTACGTGGGGGTGGTGGGGCTGCATGAGTTTTGGGCATTTGGTTGGTTTGCAGGGCAGGGAATGAAGTAACCAGGGGTTATGGAGTGTTTGGCAGAAAGCAGTGTTGACAAGTCTTATGGTTTGATGGCAAGTCTCTTCAGAGCCTTTGGGTTACACCAAATAGTAAATCAGAAGGCAAATATAAAGATTCCCAAAAATATGTGTGTGGGGGGTGGTTATGCAGGTCGGATTTGCTTTTTAAAACAATGTCCCTCTGTCTCGCCATGACTATTCTTTTATTGGGGGGGGGGCGGTCTTTAAGACTTCGAACCATAGGTGGAGCCTTTTTAGCTTGCAGAGCTGTCTGTTCAAGGGCTGCAGAACTTGACCACAAGGCCTTAATCATCAGCTTATTTCTGATCTTTTCAGGCCATGTAGACTGGTTTTAGGAGGAAAGAGCTTGGGGAAGTAGGGAGAACTGTGTGTTCCTGAATGGAATTGTAGGGGGAGTTATTCTGGACTGCACTCTGGTTGTATCTTAGCCATTTTCTCAAGAGTTCATTTGTTGCAGGAGCAATGGATCCCCCCAGCTACCTGGAAGAGGACTATTCCAGCCTGGATGGGCTGGACGATGACGTGTTTCACTCTGACTTTGGACTCACAGGTCAGCCTGGTGAGATGACCCCTCCTGGCATTTTCACACAGAACCAATCCTACAGCTGTCTCCTGGGGAGGTTTCAACTATTCCCACTCACACACTGCTGTGGTCCAGGTATCAGGCATGCTGAGCAGCAAGACAAGGCAACCCAAACACTCAGTCCATCCTCTTCCACTCAGGATGTCATGTTGCCATGTGGAGTCACTGAAGAGCCCCAGAGACTCTTCTATGGTAAGAGCACCCCAGCATCACTAGCTTTGCAGAAGGGAAAACTGCCCCTCTAGTGCTTCCGCTCTTTCCCCCCCCCACCCCTCCACTGGACAAGAGAGGGTTACTTATTCTGCTGCTATTCTGCTGCACCTCGAAGAAAGACAGGTCTCTCTGCTTTCACCCTTGCCTACTCACTGCAGGAGCTGTCCCTTTGCTCACTGCTTCTGCCATCCTTTAAACACCAGCTCCTTTTCCCCCCAACTCCATTATAGGGCAGCTGAAGTTATTGCTAGACACTTACAGCAGCACTTGACTGAGACCCTCCCGCAGGCTTCAGAGGGTGATCGAGTGCTTCCCTCACCCCAGTGCACATGCTGCTGATTTGCCTGCAAAGAGTTAAACCTTCCCTTTCTCCAGGCCGCCCAGGTGAATCTTCTCATGTGGATGGGACTGCATGAGTATTGTCAGTGCAGAGACGGTAAACACAGAGGTTCAAATGTTGTGGATCTTTTGTTGGGCTCTTTGCTGATAAAAAAAGTTGTCAGATAAATAACGTGAACAACCAGTTTTTCAGTGGTAAAGTGGTAATTGGCCTGAATTTCTATTAAAGCTGAATTGGAGACATGAATCATTCCCCACTTACTTTTCAGGTTTTTTTAAAAAAAAAAGCAACCCCCCCCTCCCAACTTTGAGTCAAATTCTGCCTTTGGATTCTCACATGTGGCACCTGTTATAATGAAGAGCCGTGCATGTGTACCCCAAGGTGAAACTTGGTCCTAAATGCTAGGCAGTTGTGAGTGAAGCCTGACTTGGAAGCTGCAGCAAGGGTTATGCCAGGAGATTATTGACAGAGACATAGGAAGGACATAGGTACTGCATAAGTGTAAGACTGTCATTCCAGATAAAATCCCAACGTTGACTGAACTATAAACAAGCCTGGTCCATGTGTGAGAGCTTTCCCTATCTCAATGTGGTTTCTTTCTTTCAGGTCACTCGGTTATGGGAGGAACATAATACACTCTGCTGGATCAATGTAAATCTACTTAAAACTCTGAGTGAATGTTTTACTGAATACTTAGCGTGATTAGTCATTGTTTAGGCTGCAGAAACTGGACTTTAGCCTGAGTCAGAAGTTTGCAATTACATAGGTTTTCCTTCAGATGTGAGAAGGGGAACAAGGCTTTACGCTGGGAGACTGAGCCATTGAGTCTTCTCATCTCTAATGTCTTGCAGGGAATGCTGGGTACCGTTTACATGTCCCCCCAGTTGGCTTTGCATTGAATCCGCACCTCCAAGAGGAGCCTCGGGAAGGTCAACGGGAAGCACGTACTGAGGTTCAGATTGCACGGAAGTTACAGTGCATTGCAGACCAGTTCCACAGGCTCCACATACAGAGGGTAGGCGCTCTTTCTGGGGGGAGAAGGGGATTTGGTTATCCAGGTATGGCATCCAGCAGCCTCCGGCTCAGCTGATCCTTCATCTCACATCTTTGTGTAGTCACTGTCTATGCTGAATACACACTTGCACCACTCTGTTGTGGCTAGGTTCTGCATCGTGAGCCAATCCTAATCGGTGTCTGTCATATTTTAGCTAACTTCAACGCAGCAAAAGGCAACTGTATGACACCATTCCGCCCTGCCTTCTAATCTCTGAGGAGAAGAGAACTAGAAGTCCCTGATCACCCAGGGTTTAGAATTGGCATATCCAAAGTGCAGCCCAGCGCTGCCCTCCTCTTTGATGTGGAGGTAGCTAGCAGAGTGCACAGGCTCTAACATGCAGTACCTCATCATGATTTGAGCAGACTTCCACTCAGATCAAGGAGTGCTACATGCTGGGACCTGTAGCTGCTGATGCCCTCCTGTGGACTTCACTGGGGTGAGGGAAGCATTCGCCCTCTGGAGTCATTTAAAGATGGGTGCTGCTTTCGTCTTACTCAAGTTAGGTGAGGAACTTAGTTCCTGGAGAGTTGCTGGGATGGCCCTCGGTTGGGCAAAGTTTGGGTGCACTTCACTTATGGAGATGAAGGGTCCCAAAGTTTTCTTCTCATGACCCAATAGCAGAATTTTTAAGGGAATGTTCTAGAAAGATCCACTGAAGAAATGTGAAAGTTGGCTATCTGGACTGTGGGATGTCATTCTGACATTAGAAATACCATATCACGAATTATTTTTGTGACTTGTTTGTTTATTCTCTTCCCCGCCCCCTAGGGTGACCAGACAGCAAGTGTGAAAAATCAGGACAGAGGGTGGGGGGTAATAGGAGCCTATATAAGAAAAAGCCCCAAATAGCGGGATTGTCCCTATAAAATCGGGACATCTGGTCACCCTACCGCCCCCCTTTCTAAATGGCACTCTCTTGCTAGCTGTCCCTGTCTCACTGTAGCTAGCTTCTTACAGCAAAGGGAAGATTAACAATCTTTGCTGTCAGGAGTCCTGAAGGGAAGCAGTGGAACTGGTTGTAACTTGACCCTTTCCATCTGGGGAGTGTAGCTATCCAATGTCTTTGTCAGGGAAATGCGTCCAAGAATGCCCCCCTCAAAACAAATAATAAAAAAAAAAACCACCAATAGAAAATCTTGGCCTGTTCCCTCTCCCCCAGGCAAGAAGTGTGTGCTGCTATGGCACTGAGAGAGCCATGCGACTGACTGCAGTGCAGGACAGGCCTGGGGACTGACTGAGCCAGGAGAATAGAATTGAATCGCGTGTCAGCCAAGCATGTGGGAGAGTTAGTAAACAAAAGCATCCGCCTGCACTACCAGCTCCTGCAGCCAGCCAAGGAGGAGCTCCTGTGTCTTTGTTTGAACTGGAAGGACAGTCAGTTGAAAAGGAGGGGGAGCTGTTCAACCATTTAAAAAACAAAACCAAAAACAGGTGTGAAAAATCTCAGCCAATGGTTCTGCAGGACTTGACACTGGGACAGGTATTGGCATTTAGAAATGCTCAGGGATTCTTTTCTTGGGTGGGGGGGTAGTACTGAGCCCTTGTGTTAATGTGGAGCTGTGCCTTGGACCACATAGAGTTTTAGTGTCCTATCTGTGCCAATGCATTCTCTTCCCTACTGACCCTACATGGAGGACTTCCTTTGTCTGTTGGCACAATCCACACAAACAGTCCTGTGTTCTTCTGTGCCTGCTGTTTAAAGGGCAGTCAGTGCCTAGAGACACATGAATTGGCTTATGATGGGCTGTGGTTTGTCCTTTGGGGTAGCGGAAGGGGCAATCTCTGAGAATAGGAAACCTGAGCTGCCATTTGTCTGTAAAGCTATTTTGCTGTGAAACTAACCCCAAAACTGGGTGCCCCGTTTCAACAACTCAGAGTCTTGGTCACAGACCATGATTCCAGGGTTATAACAGGAAACATTTAGAATATCATAGTCATAGACACCACTACACCTCCTGAACACCTGGAACAAAAAATAGGACTAGCGGCCAATGGGACGTTCCTCCAACAGATATGAGTGTCTGGTGGATCCTGAGCTGGCAAAATAGGTGCCAGTTGCTGCACTAGTATGTAGGAAAAACATCCAGTACTGGAGTTGCTTGTCCTGTTAGCTGTTTGCATATTCAGGCTTTTTATGCCTTAATTTGATGCAGTGATATATTTAAATAAAATAATTGCATCTTCATCCCCAGTACAGAGTTAGAACAATGATGTAATCTTATGGAGCACTTCATAGTTTTACTCTTCAAAGTGCTTATGAAATGTGGGCGACTATAGAAAATATTTCCACATGCAGGTTCTGCTACTTAGAATTGCTATGGTCAGTCCATGGTTCTGCAGGGCCCTTTTCAAACTATGCACAAGGGACCTTTAGTTCTCTCCTCACTCTTACGTGCCCATAGTGCCTTCCATCTGTTTAAGGCTCAATACCTTCTGGTAATCTCCCCTCTTGCCCCCCAAGACCCCCATCATGTATCAAGAAGCCAGGAGGTGGAGCTAAAACACAACTTTCTGTGTGCGGGAGAGACGTTGGAGAACTCTCCTCTAGTTTACTGGAGGTAGATTGGACATAAATGGGAAATTTGGGATGTTGCTGTGATTGGTAGGTTGGGTGCACGCATATATGCTGTGCAGCGCGTGTGTGAGCACCTAAGTCACTTAAACCTGAGTTTTACTTGCTGCGATAACTCAATGGAACACTTCAGCAATTTCCCACTGGAAAGGCACTTACTGAACAGGCTGCAATTTTGTGGGGGCCAGTTTTATTCCATTACTCCCTCATCCCTTAAATCCAACATTGGCTACTGTGCACAACTGTAAGATCATGTCACAGAAGGTAAAATTGTCTCTTTAAGAATAAAGACCTAGTAGCCCAGGACAGTTCTGGGCTTTAATCCAAGTGGAGCCACTGACTTGCTACATGTCCTCAGAAAAGTTTCTTGACCTCTTTGTGCTCCAATCAAGTCAGCTGGAAGATTGGGTTAAAAAAAGCAGAACCTCAATGAGAACCAGATGCTGAATCAGAGCTGAGCTATCGTGGGTAAATAAGTACATTACAACCAACAACAAAGCCCCCTTCAAACACATCGGAAATCCCACAGTTGATTTAGGTGTACTGACCATGTTCAGAAAACAATGGGACCTAGCAATAGAAATTTATTGCTACCCTATGTGGAAATTCCCCATGTACTTTAGCAAATTGTCTTGATGTAATTGTGAGGAAGAAAAGGGTGACTGGCCTGAGCATTGGCCCTGTGTATGAAATGTTTAGGACTAGATCCACACTGGTTGTGGGCAGGTCTCTGGAAATGAGCCCATTCCAGTAAAATTAAAAACAGCAAAATAAATTCTTCCTCCTGAAAACTTTCCACTTGAAAGTGAAACTTGTCATGTTTCGCATATGTTTTTTCTTATACAAATTCATCAGCTGAAGCCTCCCCTGAAACATTTTGGATCATCCATCCATTAGGGAATCTGTGGTCTAAGACCCTCCAGTTTAGGCTGTCGGCACAGTACATTGTCCAAGATTTATCCATCCCTTTCTGCATCACAGTTGCTCCCGTGTCTAGTGATTTTTTTTTTTAACTAAACATTTTAAATCAAAAATCCTAATATGTCAAAACTGAAACTGTTCTGGATCATTTTCAACAAATTTCCCATTTTGGGAATTTTTTTCAAAAGTTACCAAATTCTCAAAACATTCTATTTTAACACTTTCAAAATGAAAAGGTCCATTTTTGGTTCAAAACTACTTTTTTTAGAAATATAATATATAGTATAAAAAAGCTTGAAATTAATTTTTTTAATGTTATCAAAATCCTTCAAAATATTTTGATCTGTTTTTGGGGGGGGGGAGTTGTTTTGTTTTGCAAACATTGGAGACTTTGACTTTGTCTTGATTTGGGATGGGGGAAATTTTAGACATCTCAGAATTCTCTTAGGATGGGAAAACTGTTTCCTGCTCTGTTCTAATTACCAATGAAGCAGTGAGTGGACAGTAAGAAAAGGCCTAGCTGTGGGAAAATTGAGAGTTCTACATAAGTAACTGCAGCAAAGGTTTAGCTTGGGATAAAAAGAGCCTAAGGGGGTGTCCTGGGGAACTCTGGAATAGCAATGGGATTGCAGCCTAAATATATAGTGCTTCCCCCACAGTAAAGGATTCAATGAAATAATAGTGCAGGACACCTCAAATGATGTGGGATGAATTTCAGAAAGTGGAGGAAGTAACCAGGGAACAGCCATTTTCGAGTTGATTCTGACCAGCTGAGAGGAATTGGTTACAAATCTGAAGCAGGAAGGCAGTTTGAGTAACGTGATCATGAAATGATAGAGTTTATGATTCTAAAAAAAGGCAGGCGTGCGAGCTGCAGAATTAGGACAATAGACTTGAAAAAAGCAGACTTTAATGAACTCAAAGAACTTTTAAGTAAAGTCCCATGGAAAGAAAATCTAAGGGATAAAGGAGTTCTGGAGAGCTGGCAGTTTCTCAAGGAGACCATATTAAATGCACAGCTGCCAACTATTCTGATGCAAAGGAAAGATAGGAAGAAGAGAAAGAGGCCAACATGGCTCCATCAGGAGATCTTTAATGTTTCCAAAAAGTGAAAACATGGAAGAAGTGCTAAGGAGGAGTACAAAAGAATAGCACAAGCATGTAGGGACAAAATCAGAAAGGTTAAGACACAAAATGAGTTACACTTAGCAAGGGACATTAAGGCCTAGTCTACACTGGGGGGGGGAGAGGGGGCAAGATAAGGTCGGTCTAAGTTATGCAACTTCAGCTACGAAAATAGCATAGCTGAAGTCGACGTACTTAGAGCTACTTACTGCGGTGTCTTCACTGTGGTAGGTCGACTGCTGCCACTCCCCTGTCGACTCCACCTACGCTTCTCGCTCTGGTGGAGTACAGGAGTTGACAGAATGCTCAGCGGTCGATTTATCACGTCTTCACTAGACAC